TTGATAATCAAAAATCTATTCCATCTATGATAGGCAAAAAAGACATGAAAAAATAGAATACATGAGGTGGGGAGAAGAACTTGAAGACTTCTTTTTAGACTTGTCTAAGTCCTCATATCTCTTTCGATATATATTCTTTATCACGAAGATTAGTGTTGTTTCCAATTTCTTTTGCATTTCTAATAAACTCATTGTGGTGTTGTAATCTTTTAGCTATTATTATGAGCTTTTGAAATACATGTATGAAGTTCAACGTTTAAATTATATATCTGTCAATTTTATACTTTAAATGTAATTGCTTTTAATATTGTATAATTTTGATAGTACTGTCTTTTAATTTTAGAATCTTACTTAAAAATATAAATATTTCACTCTATCGTATCTCATTAAAATAAAATAGGCAATCTGATCAATAAGTGTGCATGTATTTTTAATATCCATTTATGACTATAAAAGGTTATTACTGATATTTAGATTATAAAAAGGACTTATACAAAGCTAAAGGAGACTATATTATATTAATTAATTTCACATACTTTTTGCTTGGTGTCAAATGCGCAATCCTTTTTCATTTATTTTTGTTGATACATGAAATATAATTGGTAAAATTAATATTGTTGATTTAAACATTTTCTATTTGATAGCTTAATTTTAAATTATATAACAATAGTAAAAAATAAACGTGCAACGCACGTTGTCAGAAACTAGTATATTACTAAAAGCATGAACAAAAAAGTTGAAAGTTGAATTACGGTTTTACCCTTTCTGCAAATTAAATTATTATAAAATATTTAAATATTTGATTGTATAAATTTAATTAAATGTTAATGACTTTTAGACTTCCTAAGATTAATTTCTAATTAAATATCTAATTTATTAATATTTATCATCTATAATCTATAATCTATATGTATATAATAGTTATAATTTTTTTAAAAAAATTTTTTTACCTAAATTTCTTTTCTTTCCCTCTTCTTATAACTTTTTCCTTAACCCCTCTCGTGAATAATATAATTGATGTGGATAAAGTATTATCCTTTATGATAAATAACGAAATTTAATAATTTAAAGGGTGCAAATCTACAAAATGGAGACGCACATTGATAATGTCCTCTTGATTATTATTAAAAAATGACTCTAGCTTCACAAATTTAATTCATTAATGCTTAATTACATGATAAGAACTTTAGTTGTTCTTTTTACATGGTTTGCTAACTTTAATTTTTTTTCATATTCTTCATTTATTTATTATTATTTTCTAATTACTTATTTAACTTTTATACTCTTAATATTCATAACTCTCATCTTTTCATATTCATAACCTCCAAACATTTAAACTAAAACTTTAAGATATCTTTTAATATTCCTTCTATTCTATTTATATAAATTCAACTTCTTTATCTCATGAAACCCCTATGAAGATTATTAGGCTATTATTTTTATTCTATAGTAAAAACAGATGATGAAAACTCTTGAATTTTGATAGGATATGAAATACTAATTTTGAACTTATATTTTCATCTATATACATCAATCTTATAAGAATAATGTCTACATTGTATTTTTACTTAAATATTCTGTTTTTAGACTTCTTAATTTAGTTTTCTATGAATATTTTATTGTCGTAAGTCTTTGAATTTTGTAATTGATACATTTTTATTCATTATAATTATATATATATTTCCATGAGATTTTAGTCATTCTAACGTATCTATAAAAATTTACATGAAACACACGTGCGAAGCACGTCCTCAGAAACTAGTATTTTATAAATGTCAAACACAGAAAATGTTCACACTCTTTCAAAGTCAAGTGAATATATCTACTTCTTTTTTTTTTTGGTTTGTTTATAATTAGTCAGTACATTTAATTATTGACATAAAAATGTATATATATCTAACTGTTTTTTATTTATTTCTTTGTAAAATATTCATTCGCCTCATTTTAATTTATTTCTCTTTTATTAACTTCTTATCTTTCCATATTTTAATTTTATTAAGAAAAATACTTGTGCTTTTATTTAAAAATACTATTGAGAAATATATTAAAAGTGTACTTTCATTTCAATGTTTTATTTGATTTATTTCACTTATTCTGATATTCGTTTGAAGTTAACTTAGTTTAAATACAAGATATTTGAATTAAATTTGAAATCAAATAAAACGAACAAATAAATTTAAGAGAAAAAAAGAGCGAAAAGAAAAGCAATGAATGAAGTTTACATTCAATATTATCCTAGAATATTTAACTTACCTATTATTCAAGATAGATTCAATTTCAATCTCATCTCATTGAATTAAGTAAAAAAAATTAACTTTTTTTCCATTTTCTAACTTATGTTAAATCCATCAAAATTCATTATTTTCCTATTAAAATATTTCAAATATTATAGTTGGTGTTGACACCTAATTTTGACTTAACATTTTTTAAAAATTCGTAATTTTGGGCCACAATGCTAAATCCGTCATTTGAGCCCATTTTGAGTCTTTATTTAGGTCAAAAAGAGGGGGGAGTAATTTTTCAAGAAAAGAAAAAGGGGGAAAAACCCTTCTTCCCCCCCTCTCCATCTCCTCTTCTCTCTTCCTCCCAAACCCTTCCCCTCCCTTTTTCCACAACCGCCAGCCGCTAGCGGCCTTCCTCTCCCTTCTCCCCTCCATCTCCTAGCGGCCTTCCCCT